CTGCTCTGGGAGGGCTCAAGACCAGATAATGACCCTTTGGTGAGAGATGGAGTTTGTGAGAGAAGAAAAATAGCGACCTTCCAGTACCTGAAGGGGGCCTACAAGAAGGCTGGGGAGAGCCTGTTTACAAAGGCTGTCAATGGCAGAACAAGGGGTAATGGCTTTAAACTGGAGAAAAGGAGATTTACATTAGGAATAAGTTCTTTACTATGAGGGTTGTGGAGCACTGGAACAGGTTGCCCAGGGAGGTGGTTGAGGCCCCATCCCTGGAGATATTCAAGGAGAGGCTCGACGAGGCCCTGGGCAACCTGGTCTGGTTGGGGTGTCCCTGCTGACTGCGGGGGGGTTGGACAAGATGACCTTGAGGGTCTCTTCCGACCCAGATGATTCTATGATTCTATGAAAAATCACCTGCTGGTCCATAAGCAGCTTCCAAGACCCTGGAGACCTAGAGAAGATTCCACATCAACAAGTCCTGAACATCCACAGGGAGTGGGACAAATGCTATCCCACCTTTTCCTGAAGAGACAAAACAAACAGGCAGCAGCAGAGAAGCCAAGCCCATGGCTCATTTATTCATTGCTGGAAGTGGCTCTAATTAAATTGTTTTACTGCAGCGACTGCTACTGGGATTGCTGAGTAGCAGCATGATCTAGAAAACTCCATTGATGTGATCGCACCACCCCAACTCCAAACATCTAAACTGCAAAATGCATCCTCTGACGACCTCAACAAATGAGCTTAACAAATTAGCAAAAACATATACTATGTGAGCTGGTTACAAAACGGTTGCAAAATCAAGGCCATCTCAACAAAAGACACTTGGCTGCCTCTGCAAAGCTTTCTAGATAAAACTGGGGGATCGGGAGCACTTTCCTCTTGAAACTGGGCAACATAAAGACCATCATGAAGGTGCAGCAGTGTGTCAGCATCCCAGCAGGAATGAGACAGAAGCCCCTACCTACCATATGAGTCAGGACTGATTGTCCTTCTACTGGGTCTTCCCCATTGTTTGGCATGCAAGCATATTAAAGTACACGCTACTGCCGCTAAGAATTGTCTAGTACAAGGGAAATACTATCATCTACCAGGTTTTTCTGAACTGGCTGCACATGAGCTTCTAAGTCCAACCCACTAGCAAAGTAAAGTGTTAGCACAGCTAGTCCTTGAGAAAGGGAATACATACAACTGCACATTTGCACAGGCAATGGGAGAAGACATCTGACAAGCAGTACTTGTACTGTACAGCCCACAGCAATTTGCTGGGCTGTAGGACAACAGAAGAAAGTCATGAAATTATTATGGTTCCCAGTTGCTGTCAAGTTCTAGTGTCACTTGAGTGGTGCTAGGCATTATCAGACATGTCAAGTTACATCTGTTATTATTGTAGGGAAAAAAATGCAGATTTTTTGTAGAAAAAGAAATTATTTATGTGAATATAGTGTATTTTATCATTTTTTCAACCATGAAAAAGCAGTGGAATACACAAAACTGGGTGGTTTTGTTCTTTCTTTCTTTCCCAGAAAGGGTAAGTGATTTTTGCGTCTAGTAACACTGGGGAAAGTCTGTTCAGAGCTATGGTAAGGGCTCATTTGTACAAGGGCAAATGTATCTTCTAAATCTGTCTGAAAGGAAGTAAAGCTTTAAAAAATAATTAAGATTTCGTACAAGTGCCTCATTCACAATAGAATTTCATAATACAGTTACGTTAAGAGGAAATGAATGCCTCTCATTTGAGGCTATTACCACAAATGAATTAAATGAGCAGATACCTTTTGGAGACTGACTTTAAAATCCACATCCAGCTCAGAAATTGAGTCGTTCCAAAATGCTCTGTTAGTGCAATGGCACATGAACAAGATGCGTAGTGCCCAAGTCCTGATGGCCAGTTCAGGATGACCCCACTACATATTTAATGAATATGTGCTACATACAGCCTGCACCTCATTACCAGTGGCTTTTGGCAGGATGAAGCCAGTGGCTATGCGGCAAAATTAAACAAATGAAAAGATGTTATTTTTTAAATTCATCTAAAATAACAAAGTTGGAGTAGTCCCAATAGCTCCTATCCTAACCCTGCTGAAATCAACAGGAGATGGGCACTAAGCAGATGTACTGGCCTGGATGTGCATGGCCAGATCCACCGCTCTCTGGCACTGTTTCTTCATCAATAAGCTGTTCTGAAAAGCAGGTGGGTAAATAGTGTATTGAATCAGGCTATACCTGATTATCTTGGCTAAATATGTTTACTGAATCACACAACTGAGCTAGTGTTGGTATGAATAGCTGATACGAATTATGCCATATTTAACATGGATATTTTGCTTTTCCTCTGAGGATCCCAAAGCTTCATTGTTAGGGGACCCTTCTTTTTACTTAATCTCAACTATCAAGCCTGTGCTTCTCAGCAAGCTGAAACCCTATCCAGGGAAAGGTAAGGATTGCTCTCAAATAAAAAACCAACCCTATTTATGTAGAGACAAACCCTTGGTTTGTCCAAAGGACTATTCAGGGACGCCCCACAAGAGATACTCAAACATCCTCTCAGGATGGTATTGAGTGTATGAGAGCATAGATGTACAAATTAGCACTCTTTAGCTCTGTCAACAGTCCAGGCTGTAACTGAAATAACTCTTTCAGCTTTTAAAGTGATCTTTTGTGCCTTCTGTGCAGCATAACACAGAGGTCCCTGTGGTCAGGGGGAGCTCCTAGCCTTTCTGGTCTCCCATGTGATCTATCCTTTTCCCATGTGAAGACTATTTTTTTCCTTTAGCCTCAGGATGGAGAGAGACTCGCAGAGCTAGGCTGTAGTTGGGGGTCAACTCCTGTGAGCCTGGATTGCACTTGGCCACTGGCTTCACCTGGCCACTGGCTTCACCTGGCCCTATGGTCCTGCATGTGTGCCTGGACCAGGCTGACCAAGCTGTGCTTGGCATGAGGAGACAGAGAAGTCATGTGGCTGCGTGAGGGGGAAGGCAGGAGCGGAAAACAGGTAGTGGGATACAAAGGAATCAAGCTCAGGACCTCACAAATTGCATCAGAGCTTTTGCCCTGTGTTTGGGCTTGTGTCCGACACTGACTGCAGGTAGGACTTGGCTTGTTTTCTGAGCTAATCCCCTTGTTTCTAGCATGGGCTCCACTCAAGCCTATTCTCCTTCGCAGCTGTGCAAGCACACTGTCTTCTCTCCTGAGTCACTGCAGAGCCAATGTTGAAGGGCTGCAACTTGGCTTCTAGAGAGAAGAGCTTCTGCTGTAGAACTGCAACCCCCCCCTGCGACACTGGCCAACCTGCCCTCCTCTCTGCCCAGTCCAACCCCGAGGGCTGACCAGTACAGATTGCTGCCATGAGGAGCAGGGACTCTCTTCTTCTCTTCAAATGAATGAATAAATAAAAATCAGGAGCAGGAATATGAGCCTTTAGTGTTAGGAATGCTGTTGGCTCCCAGCGGGACACATCCTGCTCTTCCTGGCAAGAGGAGTACGTGCTGTGGACATCGTTAGTGCAACAAAAAACCTGTATTCCCCAAGTTCTCATTCCCTTCTGCCCCCTAGCCCATCCCCACCTTGCGATGGCTCAGCTGGCTGCCCTCTGTGCTGGAAGAAGTGGACCCAGTGCTTCCTGGGTTCAATCCTTGCGCTGCACGCTAGAGCCCGTTCCAAGGAGCAGGACATTTCTGGTCAGCAAAGCAGACAAACTTGGACCTCCATTTGTTCAGAAGACCATTCGAGTTTGTAACACCAGCCAGGTTGTTTCGCAATAAATTCTTTCCGCTTAAAAATTAATACCAAGAATAAATACCTTCTTATGCGCTTCCCCTATGTGTTCAACCCATCAACATAAAGATTTATAACCTTCTTAGCAATTAATAGCTATTCTCCTTGCAGTAACTTCTCATTATAGCGGGCTTTTGTCTTCATACCAGAACATTTTTAAAATAGAATTTGCTGGGTGTACTATGATTTCCTGATAAAAGACATTAAGTCTGGATCTTGTCACTGATTCTGCAAGGTGATCACTGTATTCCAGCCACATGCTTTGATATTATCATTAAATGTACAAAAAGGATGCTAATTCCTTAGCTGTGTCTGCTCTACACACAGAGGAAAGGCTTCCAAAGAAAGGCCAAATAAGTAAGTAAAATACAGGTTGACATGGAGACCAGTTTATTAGCTCTTCACTAAGTACATTTGTAAATAAATGTGTCTCTTGTGTTTTCTCAATATTTGAAACAAGGCGATAAGAGAAGGGCACACAGCCTTCAGTCCCATGAGGCTTGACTGTTGCATAGTCATAAAATAAATATCTAGCTGTTGCTTTTCACTTCAAGTATCAACTGTGTGGAAAGCTACTTAAGGGCCTACAATCAGTTGTTTAATCAGCTTTAAATAATAAAATAATAAACCCCACAGACATTCAGACAACCTACTTGTGCGTAACTGATATGCTTGATTTGTGAGAATTATGGGCAGTAATCATATTATCATTTCCATTAGATTTTTCTCTTCCACACTTTTTATAACTCAAGTGATTCATCTAGCAGATGAATATACAGACACAGACAAATACTTCAAAATGGTTTTTTGGAGCTGTTTATGTTTAATTTGTCACATAACAAGTTCATCTCACCTAATTTTCCAAGAGCTGAAGCTGTTATTACAAACACAAAGACATAAAGAACGCCATGGCCACGGAGCAGATGAGGGAAGAAGAAACGGGGCATGGGAAAAGGAAGGGAAGAAACAGCAGTGTATGCAGCACCTGCTGAAGGAAGGATGCAGCGTGAGAGGAAATAAAAAGGAAGAATCCCACTGAAAGAGAGGATTTAGGCATTTCACAGATGATACTTGCAAATTGAGAAGGATCTGGCACAGATGAGGTAATGACAGGAGACAAGCGCCTGGCTCAGGAGTCCAGCTGGTCAGGGGAACACAAAGCTGCCTCAACTGTCAAGACTTGAGGGTCACGTCGTATGTCATTGGAAAGATCAGTTCCCCAGACTGGCAACAAACGCGGTGCTCTCAGTCAGGACCTTTAAAGTTGAAGCCGGTGTTGATCCCTTGCACCTCAGAGAGGGATGAAGATCGACAACTGGAAACAAAAAATCACAATGCTTTCATGATCCTTTGTGAGAAAAATTCCTAGAGCATTATTAATTTCTGATGATACTTGCAAGCAGTAGGACTCATTCATTTTTTAAGTTTCGCTTATTTGCAGTGAATGGATCTGTTTCTCAGCTGGGTAGCTGCATTCATTTTACAATAATGGTGTTTGTTTGACATCTGAGAAATTAACAATGCAAATGCCTCCGTGTCTTCGTAGCACATTTAAAATAAAATATCTTCTCATACAGAATTGATGGCACGACTGTAAAAAGGGCTCCATAATAGCCAAAACATTTTTCAAATCCCATTATAATGTGAGGCACTTGGATATGATGGGGTTTTCTCTTGGGGCCCAGGTCTATCCACACTGCCCCCTCCAAAAAAACCCAAAACCCTGGGAATCACTGTGTGTTGCAGTGGTGGAGGCAAGCCTATGTCTGCTGGCCCCTGGGCAGCATTAGTGGCCTCCCCTGGACACAATAAGACTGAGCACTTTAATTAAGAATTTTGCAATGTTAAGCTTTATAATTCAGATTCACGTGCTAACACAAGAAGCATACTGCAATAAATGTGGGGGTTTTACTCTTCTGTTTACAAATAAAAGTCTGAAAATGTTTAACAAATGCTACAAGTGGGAAAGAAGAGAAAAATAAAAAGTAAACTGCAGACGTGTTTACAAAACGTCTCATTATTTTAAGCAAATCTTTTTTTATGGGGGGGAGAGACTGAATGTGGTCTGTTGGCACACAAGAAATATAGTGCCCGCCCTGGGTGACAGGAAGACCCACAACGATTCATACTGTGAGGCTTATTGTTGACCTCCTGTTTTTATAACCCATTTATGCCTGCTCATTTCTGCATTTTCTTTGGTTCATAACCATGAGGAAAGCCCTTTGTTTACAAGCCATTGATAAATTGCCATTTATATGAGGCAATAACTTCCTTAAAAATTTGCATAATGTTCTTACTGGTCATTTAGGGCTGTTGCATATTATATTAAACCTTAAATGGCAGATTTTTATTATGCATTAAGCCTCAAATAGCATTGCGCATCCACCAGCCTCACTGGAATATTTTCTGTTTCCTGAAATTTAATTGTGTTGCAAGCCAAGGCAGCTCATAAGCTTCAATAAGTCTCATTACCAAATTGGGATGTTGAACTGGCTATTTCAGATTATCATTAAATAAAATGGACACATCGTATTGCCAGCGGGCCTGCAAGGACCTGGGTCATGGGAAAGAGCTTCAAAGCCTGAATGAAGAGCAGTCCAGCTTGAAGAGCACTTTAAAGGCTGGCTTCAGATCTTCCCTCACAAGCTCTGGCATTGGGAGCAAGGCGTGTTTATATGTAGACATATAGAATAAGGGCACAGCCTCCAGAGACATCAGATGTCCTCCAAGAGGTTCCTCGAGGGCAGAGGCATATAACCTGCTGTAGGATGCTGCTAGGGCTAGCGCAGGAATAGCTGCTGTCCAGATGAGTTGGGGTAAAGAGGACTTTGGGAAATTGCTTCTTTTCTGGAATGTGGGTCACTGGGGCTAGTAAATCAAGCAAGGCCACCGCTAATTGCTGATGTCACCTGAGATCTACTTCTGGAGCCATTAAGTCAATTGAAAGTCTCTCACAGAGATCAGATGGCTTTGAGTTAGACCCCAAAGGCAGGTTGAGCTTGGTGGTGTGATTTGTACCCAGAGAAGTAACTGGCCTGGATAACAAGTGCTCAACTGTCATGGACCAGCTCACTGCTTAAATTAACTTGCTCAGCTGGACTTTCCAATAAAGCCATTTTAAGAATGCAGTGTACCGTAGAAAGCAATTTGTTTCTTTAAGATTTAGTACCAAATGCCTAGGTTGATTTTGATTTTAGAGAAGGCAGCAACTGGTAAAGTGGGTAATTTGAAACTTAACATATTTCTCCTCCCTAAGATCAGAACACATTAAAATTAGGTGCAAAGTGCTTCTAATTTGTCAATCATTCCTCATGTAATTTTATTCCCCCAAGAAAATTGCCTGGGAGAGCTTTTCCTTTTCCCTTCATCTCCTTTCACCGCACTGTTCATTTGACTTGATCCCGGTTCAGGCAGGCGAGCAACACCCCCACACCCACCTTCATGTCGTCTCCCATCGTGCTGCCTCCAGATGACACCTTTCTCCTGCCATCTGCAGAATAGCTGTGTAGACAGGGTGAAGATAAAAGGACAATTGAATGAGCCTTCCATCCAGAAGACAAACTCTGATTCATACCTACAATTAAAATAGCCCTAGCAGAGGAAGGAGGGGAAGTATCCCAACACCTCTGAGAAAAAATGGTTCTGCTGATGTTTCTCCTAAATCATAGAACCATTTAGGTTGGAAAAGACCCTTGGGATCATCGAGTCTAACCATCTACCCTACTCTACAAAGTTCTCCCCTACACCATATCCCCCAACACCACATCTAAACGGCTCTTAAACACCTCCAGGGATGGTGACTCCACCACCTCCCTGGGCAGCCTGTTCCAGTGTCTGACCACTCTTTCTGTGAAAAATTCTTTCCTAATGTTCAGTCTAAACCTACTCTGTTGGAGTTTGAAGCCATTCCCTCTCGTTCTGTCACTAATTACCGTTAAGTGCCAGAAATGGCATGAGGCAGCCTTTTCCTGTGAAGTTTCCACCTCATGTCTACAGCAGAGAAAGTTCAGATAGGTTTCTGATTTAGAGCCATCAAAAGTGTGTGCAGCGCAACCAAAAAAAAAAAAAAAACCAAAGCAAAACACATCAGTTCTTGGGCTTTGTCAAAAATGCTTACATTTACATCAATTACACAGAGCAGTTTGGAAAGGTTCATAAAACCAAGTTTCAGGGCTGCGTTTCATGCAAGCTGTGCAGAGAGATACAGATAGTTATCTGCTCGCTTCAAATCGAGTTCGTGTCAAACAAACCCAGAAGGCTGGATGAAGCTCAGAGTCATGTCAAGCTACTTGGGGAAAACCTGTGCTAAGCAGCCCTGCTCTCCAGCTCTGCTCCAGCTCTCACAAACAAACCTAAGGAGTGTTTAACTCATCCACCCTCTGGAACTGCAAGAGATCAGCCCACCAGTAACGTGTAATTGTGAGAGAATGCATTTATCTGCAGCTTGATCATAAATTCTGCTCAGGATTTAAATGTATCGGTGTTATTTACAATTCAAGACCCCTAAGCCAAGCATGAACTACTTTGATGGTTTGATAGCAGCTGTCTTTTCTCAAATGCAGGAGTCCTGGCTTTGCTGTAGTGGATTGATTTCTCTCTGAGAGTGGCCAATATCAGCTCAGGGTAAAAATACCCCTCTCTGCTACTATAGTAACAGGTATGCGATGCTACACATGGAGGGATGCAAAAAAATGGAGATGGAAGAGCAGGAGAAATTCCTTCTGCAAATTTTATTCCTTTTTTATTTCTTTACAACCTGAGCTTTGGGTACTCTGATGAGTGCTTGTAGCTACAGATGTAATACACAGTGCCAGAATCACCCCTAAAATTCAGCACTGTTTTTTGGCTTCTTGACCTCTGGGCAGAGTGTGCTGGGGGGGGGAACATTGGCTGATTACACTCTGCATGAAGCAGCATTTCTTGTCATAAATTTAGCTGCCATTAATGCCCCCGAGTGACCCCATGTTTCTTGTGTTACAAGGTAGATAGGCAAAAAAAAAAGACTCTAATCAGTTAGTGCCACACTCCTCAGGCTTAACCCCTGCCCTGGAGAGGTCCTGCAGGCTCCCTGCCCGTGGCAGGTGGATGATGAGCTTGGAGATGTACTAAGCAGCTTGTTACATGGCACCGTGAATACTCTTTACTCATAAAATATCATGTTTTTTTAAGAACGTAAGTAGAAGAAATGTTGGATCACTAGAATCCCAACCCAATTTCCCTAATTGTCCTCCTTCTTAGGAGCTGGTTACTTCATACTTAAGCCAGCATTTATCAAGCAAATGCAGCCTTTTAGGTTGGTAAAGGATGCCACAAAAGGGCAAACTTAATTCTCTCTTTTCCCTCTCACCCTCTCTACCATTCATTTTGGGAAAGATGGGTCACTTGAGGGAATTCCTCCCAGTTGCTGCCCATCCATAGCCTGTTGGCATAAACAAGCTTTAACTACACCACAAAGACAGCAGAGCTGCAGGGGAACAAGCCACACTCCATCATGCCTCACACATCATCAGCAAAACCCATTTCTGCAGCAAGAGGAACAGCATAGCTTGGTTTTCAGACGTTGGATTTACCCTCCAGCTTTGGCAGAGGAGGGAAAGCAGAGAGAGGGGGGAGAGCAAAAAAAAATCAAGTTTTGATTTTTAAAATGAGCAAATTGATGTGGAAGTCACAGATGGTGAATAAATACGGGGCACAGAATTGTCATTTGGCAGCCAGTTCTCCTGACCAATTTAAGAAGGATATGCTGTTATCTAGTTTAGTTCAGGGAAAATATATTCTGGGCAGCAGTTAGCCATTTAAGAGGCCTCATTGTTTCATAAAATATATTTGGGTTTGGTACAAACACAATTAATTCAGCTTTCTAATATTGTGCTTGAACCAAACCCAAAATATGTGTTGTGAACATTTATTCTTTTATGTCATTTATTGGTTCCAGGTTCTTTTCTGAAGGCTTAGATTTAAACTGGGATTTGCAACAAAGAAAGAACATTTGGGGTGACTTCAGCTGGTGCAGCAAACTCCATTCTTATGCACTGTTTTGAGATGTGCCTCCAAATTATCTGACAAATGATATGTTCCAAATTAAGTCCCTCATTACCCATGCTTTTCTATTGCTAAGTGCTGCACAGCATTCTTCATTATTATACCGCTGTATTTTGGGGACTTATTAGGCTTTGCTTGTTGGGTCTAGCAATTGAAGCAAAGGATTTGCATCAGGCGTAGCACAGCCAGCAGTGCTGCCAGCTGAATCGTGGCACAACTGCATTTAAACACTCACGCTTTGGTTTCCCAAGTGACAGCTTTGAGGAGACAATGATCTCGTGAAACACCGTCAAGATCTCCAGCCCTCCTGATCCTTCTTCTCTCCCAGCTGTCCACACAAGTCTCCTTGGGTTTGTTTAGGTAATAGGCTTTTTGGATGCTGAAAACAAAGGATATGGCAAATGAGTTGAAATGCAAAACGGTGAAGAAAAGTTTTTCCAGGTGAAGAAGTAACTTGCTGTCCCCCATCTCATCCTGCTGAGTGTTCCAGAGGCATAAGGAGCTGTTTCCCAGGACGGGCTGTGCAGTGGGTCTTGCTTTGCACCCTGGTGACTGCTGTCCCTGTCAGCAAGTGCTGTGAAGGCCATCACCAGTTACTGCCAAGTGCAGCCCAGAAGACACCAGACACCACAAATAAGCACTGGTCCTCAACCTACAAATCAGTCCTGCCCTTTGCCTTCCCAGAAATGTTTCTTACTCAATGCCTTCTGTAAAATCCTATTTTCCAACATACAGCACACAAAACTTTCCATGATTCTCAGTTAGGCGAGGTTCAGCATCCAACTTCTCCGAGTTCAATTGGCAATTACTGACACTACAGAAGACAGAGGGGAAAAAAAATCAAATCCCTACCTAGATATCAGTCCCCTCCTCCACATCTGTGGAAGTTTAGGGAGAGAAAGGAATTGGGCACAAATATTTCAAGACTATGTTTGGGCTTTCCATTCACATTAAGGACCCTACAGTGTCAAGCTATGCTGCTCATCCCTCCCTGCAACCAAAGTAAACTGAGCTTCTTAAAGCAAATGAACAAAGCCTACTCTGCCATACATTATCCCTCATCTGCTGGTAAATGAGGACTGTTCATATCATTGCTGACTTGCAAAACACCCTTCCATCCTAGACATTAATGTTAATTAGTGAGATTTCTGCTTCAAATTAGTGACGCCAAAGCACTTTGAGATCCACACATGAAAAGAGCCACAAAGGCCAAAGTGTTACTGTTCCCTTTGGTGACAGTGTTTGAAATATAGATATCCTTTAATATCTCTGTTTTCTCCTAACAGGTAGTTTGTAAATGTGCCCTGGTGCCCAGCCTCCTTCAGAAACACAAGGCGGCAGGAGCAGAGCTCTTTGAAGCTCCTCCACAATTGCAGACCTGTGCTGGAGAGAGGGAGTGGGGTGTTAACAAGTTTAAAAATATACATACGAACCAGAGAGACTAGGACTTTGAGAAAAGCCTTCAATGAGAATCTTTGTCAAGTCTAAGATACATATCTAGTTTATTCACTAGATGAAATGTCTCCCGAGATGAAAGCAACTTCTGATGGTATCTTCTCTACTCACCACATTATCATATCAATGATAAAAAGGCCAGTCAAGCTTCCTGGCTTTGGAACTCATAATGTAATTATGAATATTTGTCTGTTTTCCCCTCTCTCTTTCATGGGTGTCTGTATGAAGGAGAGCTGGAGGAGGGCAGGCAGCCGAGGAGAGGAGAAGAGCAGAGGAGTACCAGTGATGCTGGTTGCACCATGCTCTGCATTAATGCAACCACGGGGAGAATTCCTCAGATTCCTTGTTGTGGGCAATAAGAGGAATGCCAGCAGGCTCTTTCGCGGGACAAACCATTACCATGGCTACAAGGATGGAGCCAGGAGATAGAGAAGAACAGAGCACTCCATGTCATCGAGTGCTTGGCCTTGAAACGCACAGCACCAAACACCTTCTGAGGTCACATCGACCCACACAGGTGAGGCATGTTTGTACCTCTCCTTGCTAACAGGTTTTCTGAAGCTCTTTGCATTGACAAAATACCTCAGGAAGTCATGTCAAGGAGCTGCTATTGTGTCAGGTGGTGTTAATCATCTCCGCATGATCTGGAAGGGCAGGGGATGCTGCACACAAAGGAAAGGAGATGGTGAGATGTGTATCGTGCTGCTTTGGTAATGCAAGGTGTGAAATGTGCCTTCTGCGATAAAGAAATAATAGTAGTTAGTATTAATTGCAGGCTTAGAACTAGGGAATCCCACTGGGTTATACACATATGGTAAGCGTCTTCTCCACTTTGTGGGTGGAGAATGGAAAACGTGAAAGGGGAAGAGTTGACTGCAAATGCACACAAGGATGGGTAAAGGCAAAGTTAAAAAAAATAACTTTTTGAAAGTACAATCAGATTTTCAAGCCATAAATACTTTTTGGTTTATATTTATATTTAGATTCCAAGATTGAATGTTGACTGTGTAAACTTATTACGGTCTATTACATACCTTAAACTAAAAATGCTCTATCTGGATGTCACATGCTTGTCACTACAGATAAGAGGAGGTCAAATCAACTAACCTGCCTCACCCAGAACTGGTGTTCACAAAAGTGCAGCAACTCATGGTCATTTCTGCAGGAACTAAAGGACTATCTTTCTTTATTTCAGCTTATTCAACTACCGTAGTACTGTAACCAGCCATCTCAGAAAGCCAAAAAGTCAGGATCTGTTCAATTCAAGAGTATAAATTAAGAGTCAGAGAAAAAGATCTATCTTTTCTAAAACCACACTATAAGATGACCAGAAATACTGCCCTCGTTCATCATCTTTTACACTCAACACTTTGATGCACTCTTATTTAACGAATAAGACACATAAGGAAAATACTGGTTTTTTTAAATCTCTAAGTCCCACTTCCCGTGTGCGAAGCTGATTCTCCAGTAATAAAAAAGGATATAATTCACCTTTTTTGAGGTTACAAAATGTAAAAATGAAGACTTGATTAATATCGTTAAAAAACATACTTGGTTAAATCACTTTGTGTAGGTATAGGGCACTCTACTAGCTAGCAGAAAACAGGAAGGCTGTCTTGAATATCAACTAATTATATATCAAAACTGCCAGGGTCTTCCATGAAAAAAAAATATATGTTTTTTTTAATTAATAGTATATCTACGCTGTAAATTTTCCATCCATCCAGGCGTGAAATTTTTTCTCTGAATGCCTTCGTATCCACGATGGAAATCCCAAATTCCTTGGATGGATGTGACTCACGCTGCTCCTGTCCTGCCTATGGGAGCATCTCCACTGGTTCCTGCACCCATCCTGCTGCAGGGCGGCCACTGCTCAGCGCCGTGGACCACGGCTCAGACACACACCCGCCTGCTCCAGCAGTTCTGCCAAACCCCTTCCTGCGCTTCCCAACCCTTGGGAGCACTCTCCCTTTTAGTCCTCTGCTCGGCAGAAGCCAAGAGGTACTTAATGCCACCTCGTTTGGCACCTTCACTCCGGGCTGCCTATTTCAGGCTGCCAATACAAGCGCAGCAGCTCCAAACTGCCCGGCCATGCCAAGAATTCTCTCCCTTGCGTGCAGCTCGCCAGCCAGAGGCAAATATGTGAACTTTAGAGATTATCTAGAGGGAATATTCCAGGAATTTAGATTTCAGCTGCAGCAGTAGGACCATACATCATTAAAGCTGCCTCTCCTGCCAATGTAAAAAGCAAACATCGATGATTTAAATCACGGTTCCCTGGTGGCTCATTTAAATCACTTGGATGGAAATCAGTCCACCTTGTCACTGTGGAAGAGGTAGAAATGGAAGTTGTGGATTCATGACTCCCAGGTCAACACTCTGCCTCGGACGTGGACCAGGTGACAATAAATCCTGCGAGGCACAGTGTATAATAAGCGGTTTTATGAGGTGTGGCACTGATGAAACCTGGTTCCTACGGTTGTGTGTGTTGTGTTTGGAGTTTCTGTTGTCTGTGAAGTGTGACTATTGACCAAAGCTTTTCCTGCAGTCGTGATACGCAACACCATGCCCTTAGTTATCACACTGAGGGTTAATCTCATGAATCAGCCATTCATGGAGCACTTTCATGGAGTCTTTCTGTCTTTGTTTAACCTGCCAGCCTGTTACCAGGAAACCTGCACAAGGTAAGGGGTGGCATTTACATTTGCTGCAGAGCTGGCACCTTGTGCATGGGGTGACTCTTGGAGCCAGGCAGCAAGGACAAGGAGCCTTGAGAGTGATTGTCTGATGGCACTTTCCCAACAGCAGCACGAGCTGGACATGCACAGGCCTGGACCCATGTGCCCAGACACATCTCAGGCCCAAACAGGCAGCTGGTCCCCATCACTGTGTGGGGCAGATGGGTTAGCAGAGGTGGTCTCTGCCACAGAAACTCTACTGTTTGGTTGGAGAAGCCTAAGGAAGGTTGGCAAAGGGTGGAAACACTCCTGTCTCTCTACAGGTGAGCAACCGATGCAGACAGAAAAAAAGCAAACCCCTTTCCATGCAAAGTCAAACCAAATCCTCATTTCCCTCAAGCGAGCGGAGCTCTGCCAGCTCACTGGCACACGGGCATGTTTAAATTGGTTTGAATTTTTATGGCTGTACAACAACCAACAAGTTGCAGAACCTGCCATGTAACAGAGATGCGTTGGCTCCACATTTTCCTGCCTGTTTGATTTTTCTGAAAGCAGCAGATTTTGTTGCTTGTGTCACCTATAGAAAGAGACAACATTTAGGATGAAGGCAGGTATCAGAACCCAGCCCCAGATGAATGCTTTGTGTGCAGGCGGCTGCCCAGGTTTTGACAAACTTGTTTGACACTGTCAGCACTGGAGAGGTGTTGGAGAGGTGACAGCTGAGTTTGGTCTCTGTGGCATCACATTCTGATCACTGACACTCACAAGTGCTGTTAAGAAATCTTCCCCACTTATGGAAAAATAAATAAATAAAAAAAAAAACAGAAGGAAAGGAAATAGAAAGATAAGAAGCAATGTCACATCACTGCTCTTTCCATCACAGGTTTGTGGGAGTGAGAGGGAGAAGAGGACATAGACTTAAGTCCCTCTGGCTCTTTTGGCTGCTAAGTTGCCTCCTTCTCTGTTTTGTGATGCCACTGTGGTTAAGGCTAGGATGATGTTCAGGTATCTCCTACACTATATAAAAACCTGATGTACTCTGCTCACCACATAGAGGAGAAAACCTCTGCTTAAAACAGTATCCTCAGTTGACAAAAAAGGTTTACCTTGATCAGCCTAGAAAAGGCTCAGAAGAAACCATCAGAGATAGCACAGACAGACAGGTCCTATAATAAGAGTGCGCTTTGTCTGCAGATGCACTTAAGTGTCTCAGCTCCTTATG